TTTGTCATAGTTTTTTTCGTTGAAATAAGACCACTACTTCTGTGACTTTTTATTTGGACCCATTCCACATAAGTAACCATAAAAGATTCTGCTTTTAGCAAATTCAGTTCTTTCAAAATATCTTCAACCTTTTTATCATCAGAAGCAACTGATATTAAATCATTTCCAATTAAGGATGACAAACCACTCAAAATCGAATGTTTATGTTTCAATTGATTTATTCTCTCACCTTTAATTTGTGGATTTAAACAAGTTATACAAAGACAAGTACCCCAATTGTCTGGTTTCGGTGAAACAATATAGGATGGAACATGTTTGGTGAAAGTTGAATACGAACAATCAATATTTGTATTTAGAATAAACTTCTGATGAAGATTGATAAGATGATTTAAGAGAAATCGAACTTGTTTACCATCTATAATGTTGTTTTTATCTGGTGTTAATCGTGTATTATCATCATCATTCAAAAATTTTTCAATAGCTTCAGTAAGTTCTTTTGATGACATTGTTGTTGTTTTCGATGGCAAATTTTGGTTGGACAACTAAATTATCAACACTTCTCAGTAATAGAAGCGGTACAAAATAATCGATAACTTACATTAATTCCAAATTTCTTTCGAACACTATTTATACTGCCACGTGGTAAATCCGATTTGTCAACCATCATACGTGCTGTAGCACGACGTTTTGCATTTGGACTAATATGTTGAAAAAACTGTGTTGATGGTGATGTTGGTGATCTAATTGGTGTAATGTCTTCATTTGATGGCTGTAATGATGATGATGGAGTTGTCGTTGTTACTGTTGTCATTGGTGATGATGATGATGTTAAAGAAATTAGTTTTTCTTTCAATTGATTATTTTCTATTTGTAATTTTTCGTTAGCATCTTGCAATTGGCGTATCTGTAATTTGAATTTTGCAATATTTTGACGACGACGTTGTAAACCTTCACGTTTTCGAAGATCATTTCTTGATATTGTAACTGTTGATGTTGATTGTATTGATTGCTGTTGTTGCTGTTGTTTCTTTTTCGCTCGATATAATGCTTGTCTCATTGCTACTTTTTTTCGAAATTTCTTATCAAAATTTTTCGATTGCAAACGTTTTAGTTGAAGTTTTTGACGATATTTTTGACAATATGCAGCATTATTGTTTTTCTTTTTGTTTTTTTTCGTCATCTTGATAATGGCAAGTTAAGATGAAACAAAATGAAAAGAGTTTTTAGGTTTGCAGATGATGAGAATCAATTAGCATGGGATCATTCACGTTTCTTATGAACTATAGGCGTTTTGCATAATAGTAAATGAATAAAATTCAGATCTAATGGTTATTTGACGCACTATCAATCCTCACAAATACTTATAAAACATTTCTGAGTTGAGATAAATTAATACAAGTGAATAAAGTCTTGTTTCTACTTAAGATATATTATTTTAATCTGTCGTGACTTTTTTATGCAAAAGAAATCTGTCGTGACATTTTTTGAGTAAAATGTGATTTTCTCGGGAATAATTCTTGATTAAGAGCTGCAACTTTCACCATAAATTTACTACACAACTAGCTGCTAAACATAAAAAATTCATCGATCGATCTCTCACTCTTCATGAGAAATCGAAGAATCAAAATAATAAAATCTGTCGTGACATTTAGCGAG